GTATCTATTTTTTCCAGACTTCTAAAGATTGGCTGCAGCAGACTGATGACATCATCTCAGTGTAGGGGCCCGGCGGGTGCAACAATGTATTCGATTTGTGATCCAATAGAAAAGAGGAGCTTGTGGCGAGTCCATAGACACCCAACATGCCAAGGTTTAAAAGGGGGAGGGTCTACCAATGAGAACACAAGTTTTGGGGTTCCCTCACTTTGGTGGGATTTCTTCTCACTTCCTCTTTTTGGATATGAGACAGGAAATCAAGGAAAATCTCCCTGATGGGATACAGATGGCAAAAAAGTCTCATCAGAACAAGGGGAAATCTTCCAATGGAGACACTAGTTCTGGTGACAACAAGGGATTCCTTCACTTTCGAGAGATTTCCCTCATATTGTAGAGATTTCCTCTAACTTCCTCTTTTGACTATGAGACAGGAAGTGGAGGAAAATCTCCCCAATGGGATACAGATGGCAAAAAAGTCTTATCAGAACAGGAATAGAGGGGAAGTCTTCAAGTTTTGGTGACAACCAGGGATTTCCTCATTTTGGAGTGATTTCCTCTCATTTCCTGTTGTTGCTATGGGACAGGAAGTAAAAGAAAATCTCTCCAATGGGACACAGATGGCAAAGCAAATCTCACCAGAACAGGAATAAAGGGGAAATCTTCCATTGGGGAAACATGTTTTGGGATTCCTTCCCTTTGGAGGGATTTTCTCTCACTTCCTGTTTTGACTATGAGACAGGAAGTGAAGGGAAACCTCCCCAATGGGATACAGATGGCAACAAAAACCCAAACAAACAGTAATAGATGGAAATCTTCCAATGGGGACACTAGTTCTGGTGACAACCAGGGATTTCCTCATTTTGGAGTGATTTCCTCTCATTTCCTGTTGTTGCTATGGGACAGGAAGTGAAGGGGAATACCCCCAATGGGATACAGATGGCAAAAAACTCTCAACAGAACAGGAATCAAGGGGAAATCTTCAAATGGAGACACTAGTTCTGGTGACAACCAGGGACTTGCCTCACTTTCGAGGGATTTCCTCTCACTTTCTCTTTGACTATGAGACAGGAAGTGAAGGCAAATCTCCCCAATGGGACACAGATGGCAAAAAAAACCCAAACGAACATGAATAGAGGGAAATCTTCCAATGCGGACTCTATTTTGGTGACAACCAGGGATTTCCTCATTTTGGAGTGATTTCCTATCATTTCCTGTTTGTTGCTATGGGACAGGAAGTGAAGGGGAATACCCCCAATGGGATACAGATGGCAAAAAAACTCTCAACAGAACAGGAATCAAGGGGAAATCTTCAAATGGAGACACTAGTTCTGGTGACAACCAGGGACTTGCCTCACTTTCGAGGGATTTCCTCTCACTTTCTCTTTGACTATGAGACAGGAAGTGAAGGCAAATCTCCCCAATGGGACACAGATGGCAAAAAAAAAAAAACCCAAACGAACATGAATAGAGGGAAATCTTCCAATGCGGACTCTAGTTTTGGTGACAACCAGGGATTCTTTCACTTTGGAGGAATTTCCTCCCTCTTCCTGTTTTGGCTATAGGACAGGAAGTAAAGGAAAATCTCTCCAATGGGACACAGATGGCAACACAAATCTCACCAGAATGGGAACAAAGGGGAAATATTGCATTGGGGAGACACGTTTTGGGATTTCTTCACTTTGGAGGGATTTCCTCTCACTTCCTCTTTTGAGTATGAGACAGGAAGTGAAGAGAAATCTCCCCAATGGGATACAGATGGCAAAAAAATCCAAACGAAAATGAATAGAGGGAAATCTTCCGATGGTGACTTCCTGTAATAGAGACCGCTCACTGCTGCCCCCTCTCTCCTTGCGCAGGGGGGGGGGCTGGTCTTGTCTCCGCCCCCTCCTGTAGTTTTTCTGTGGCCGGTCTGTAGTGGGCGGAGCCTGCTGCTGCCTCTGCTCTCTACACAGGCTATGTAGAGCACGGCGATGATGTCACCGCCACTTTTACAAGGTAATATCTGGGTTTGCAAAAGTATTTTGGATGTTTACGCGCCTTTGGAGTTTTTTTTTTATTTTCAAAGGTTTACACAGGAGCAGAATCACGCAGATCCCCTGTGATGGAGATAGGAAGTGCGCTCGGCACGTGCGAAGCGCTTGGATATTACGTAAGTGGGAGCGGTAACATCGTCATTATCCAGCGGTATACGGTGAGACTTTATTAATCCGCCCGCGCGCTGAACGCCGACGGCCAACCAAAGTCGCCGGGATAATTGCTCCAGATGCAGAGAACAAACGTTTTAACATCTCCATGTTCTCCGCCTCCCGGCTCCTCCCACATTCTCGGCGCTGAATGCAGGAACAGGTGATCAGCAACGTGACTCTGAGGAAGGAGGCGGAGAGCGGCGAAGTGAGACGGGGGGCCAACTCCACCTCATCCTCACAAAATGCTTGTCATTATTTTATTTTATTTTATGTCCTTTTATGTTTTCTATTTTAAAAAGAATCCTTTTGTCAGT